GGCAGGACCGAGGCCCTACCCCCTATATCTAGGCTGAGGAAGGTGTCCCTTCACAGGGAATGGGCTTAAAAAAGATGTGTGTTTCATGCAGAACACTCATAGAGGTCAGGGATTACTAAGGGACCATGAGTGGCAACTTTCAATGGAGGAGAGACAGAATACACAGGTATAAATAATCAAAAAGGAATGTTGGAACAGAAAAGGTTAAATTGGGGTAGGTGTGGGAAGGCAGGGTAGAAGACAGAAAGGAATAAAGGATACTAAATACCTCTCCAAAAAGTCATGTGTAAACCTAGTAATGTAGATGTTCCCTAAAATATATACCTATACACATATAAAAATGAGTTAAAATGGAGTTACTCTATAACAAGGCAAAAGCTAGACAACATATATTACCAAATGAAACACCTAGTATCAGGAATGAATTGTGTCTTCTTTTGATTTGTTGGCCAGTGAGCTTACATAGACCACCAGACATTACAGGCTATCACCAATGCTCTTGCTTACCCTTCAGAACTTGACAGTAAGACCCTATTGCTGACAACACCACAGACTTGAGGCATAAAACATGGAGGAGTCACGCTGGTACAGACCTGAGAACCTCATCTGTATGGGCTACTTCATAGTGCTGGAAGGAGAAAAGTAATCATCAGTTTTGCCCCTCAGAAAAGGACAAAACAATAACTCTCTTATCCAAAGACATATATGGAAAATTATGTGTCTTCCAGACTAAAGAATTATAAATATGTTTCTTTTTCCAAATCTTTCAGCAGAGAAGTGTAAATTCACCTAGTATATAGGGATATTAATTGTGGAAATATGCTATTTTTTGAGCTAATTTTATAAATTTTTGAGTAGTTTTTCTCTTATGAGGCAATCCCATGTGATAATGAGGCAGTACCTAGTAGCTATCCATATTGGAGTGAAAAGTGAAAAATTGTAAGGGTATAATATGTACCTCAATGAAAGAACCTTAATATTCCTAGAAAATGGAAGAGAGCAAAATCTTGTACCATATCTTTGAAAAAAAGTCAATTCTTTAAAGATGACAATTTTTCTGAATTTATTATAGGTATTAATTTAATCCAATTTAACAGAAACATTTTAGATTTCATCACGAATAACCAGGATATGAGAATGCCTAATAACTTTCTAGTATGTTTGAAAATTATGGTACACTGATGCGATCAAGATAAGCACAAATAGATCAGCTGAACCAAATAGTCCAGAAACAATAACAATATTATAAATATTCAGTTCTTTTAGTATTTGGTAAAGTAGCCTAACAAATGAAGAATGGAAGTTTAATGTAGTAAACTATGTTGGAGAACTGATAACTACCTAGAAACAAATCAAATTAGATCTTTTATGCACTTAAAAATAAAACTCAAATGAAATTAAAGAATAGAATAAATTAATAAAACAACATATTTTAAACAAAAACAGTGAAGTTTGATGTACCTCTGGAAGCTGGAAAGCTAAGAAATTGAACATGAAGAAGCTGAGTGAGGCATTTCAGTACTAAAAGTATTAAATAACAAATGCCAAACTGAGAAAGGATATCTGCAAAATAACGAGATATGTCTGTATGCTTAGGCATTTGTGTGTGTGTGTGTGTGTGTGTGTGTGTGTGTGTGCACCCATGCATACACAAGTGTGTGTATGAAAAGCATTAAGATCCAAATCATTAACTGTTAAAAGTATGCAAATAGCCGGTTCACAAATGGGGAAAAATAGTTTAACAACCACATCAAAAACATTCAGTGTCATTAACAAAATCTAAAATATGAACATGGAGTGTAAATATAATAAAATTAGAAATCAAATTTAAAGGGGAATTATTTTTAACAAGAATACTCATTTTTAAGGAAAATTACACATATAAACTAGAATATATATTTATGGTAATCATTTATATGCAGAACATATAACTGAAAAGTATTGAATGATTCAGGTGTCAAAATAAGATTCTGATGGAAATGTATGAAATTGTCAAAAGGCAAAATTAGTCAATAAGAAATAAAATAAGAAGAAAAATATGGTTTATTTACAACTTAGCTGAACTAAAATACAACCCTTATAAAATAATGTCTTGAATTTCTTTGTGAAAATATTACATATGGATCAGCCTTTATTTCATACTACGTGGAAATTATAGCAAAATGTAGTGAAAGCGTGTACATGTTCAAAAATAATCATCTTATTAAAAAATAGAAGAAATTTTACTTAAAACTTAATAGTAGTTGCCTGTTAGTGATATTTTCCTTTGATTACATTATCTATGTTTTCAAATTTTATATCACAAATACGTGTAAAAGAATATTTAGACAAATTGTTTTAATTCTAATTTTATTTGGAGAAAATAACTGGAAGAAAAGCTCTGTATTGTTAATGAAGAGTAGCAATTATATAAGTGGAGACCTTTTACAATGTTTGAAACATTCTGTTTTCTAAAACCTAACAGGAGAAAAGGCCCTGAGAGCCATAGCTGGGATTTCATCTGGGAAAGAGGACCGTATAGTCGGAAAGTACAATTGGAAGCATACAGTAAAAATAGAGGAAACTGAGGTTGAAGCAAAACTTCTTGGTTAATGGAATAAACAAAGGTAGTGGCACTGAGGAAACTTCAAGTATTGTATGTTTGTTCATGAATATATGATTCTATTTCTTTCTATTCTATATCACACAAATCAGTATTTTGAATTAAGAGTGCATAGTTTGTTGCAAAATAGCATTTTGCAAGTACCATGGAGTGCCAATAAGAGAGAATGAACTATTTATGTGTATCAAAAGGGACAGGCGGCTCCAAAATAACTAAAGAACTAATCAAAGGCAAAGCATCTTGTTTCTTCCTTCCACAGTAGCCTGGTCATAACTCAGAAAACCCTTATGATGGGGAGAATTCTCCACTTCTTGATTTTCATGGGAAGAGGTGTTCATGAAGAAATTAGTCAACAACAACAACAAAACCTTACATTTATGTAGCATTCACCTTCAGTAAAAACTAAAATGATGAGAAATTCCTTACATCGTCCTGACCTACTTGCCTAAAAAACTAAGAATTACTCCCTTCAAGATTTAACTTACAGCAATTTTTTTTGGTTTTTCAAGACAGGGTTTCTCTGTGACTTTGGAGGCTGTCCTGGAACTAACTCTTGTAGACCAGGCTGGTCTCAAACTCACAGAGATCCACCTGCCTCTGCCTCCCGGGTGCTGGGATTAAAGGTGTGTACCACCAATGCCCGGCCCAGCGATCTTTTTTAACAGAAAAAAAAAGATTTCTGTTTTACATATATGGAAGGTGAAGTGCCCAGAGAATCTGAGTGACTCCCTAGAGTCCACACCCTGGCCTCTTGTCAGCCCAAGGCTCTTTGTAGTAGAGTACATGATGCTTTAACAATTCATTCATTCATTTACTTACAAATAATTTCCTGAGTGCCCATTATGTACCAGGGAACGTTTCTGGTACTGGGGACAATATTTGTTCCTTCATGAAGGTACTTTGTGGTAGAGTCCACATGTAAGTAAACATGCTAACAGAAAGTTTAAAGCTCCTTGAATAAAAATAGTGGAATAGCAACATGGACATTTGTTAGAATGATCAAGGGGTGAAGATTGAACAGAAGGTGTAAAATCCTCAGTGTGGAGCAGGCATGGTGACCTTCAGTCACGAAGGTGGTATATAAACTAGATGTCTTAGGTATACTGTCTCCAGCTCTCTCCCCCCACCCCTACTCAGGCTTCATTTGAACCTTCACTTTTCCCTTTAGTTTAAGAAGCATGGTACTTAACCCACTAACCCAAAGCAGCTCATTTCACTCGCCATCCTCCATCTTTTGACAAGAAAAAAGAAAAAAACAAGAAACTTCATTGGCTTCCCTTGCCCTTCCTGAGGTTCCACTTGAGAACATAAAGGTCCAAGCCCAAGGCTGGATGTCTAGTTCACTGCAAAAGCAATTTCCAACAGACATAAAATCCTGGATTCTATCCCCAACACTGAAAATTTATTTTTGCATATATTTAACTTTAAGCCTTTATGATAAATGTACTTAACCTGATCTGAAAACTGACACAAATAAGACTTGGTCATTTAAAAAAATCAATATACAATAACAATCCTCTCACACCATCCACAATTTAATCTTTATTTTCTGACCCAGAAAGTACTTCAAAATTTTGTAGTGTATCATCATGTCTAGAACACACTACAAAGCATTTTCTTTGTTTTGTTTTTATGTAGACCCTATTGTTCTAGAGTGAGGATTTTGTGAGGTTTTTTTTAAATCCTGCTTACAGTAATGCTTGAACTAGGTCCTTTTGAAGAAATCCCTTCATGAAATAAATTGTCCAAAAAAGAGAGTAATAATAAACTAAAGCCAATAGCTTACCGAACATTTGCTCAACGTCAAGCCCAGAGCTTACTAGTTTTTAAAAGCATGGAGGTATTTAATCTTTACATTCCTTTTAATAAATGAGAAAACTCAAGGACTAAGAGATTGATTTGCTGAGATTACAAGTTTAGAGGCTGAGTATGGTAGGATTCGATCTCAGATCTGCTTGGCCGGGGAGGTAGAAAGCCGAGATGGCAACTCCATCTAGTTCAAAATGGGACAAGAGGCTGGAAACAGTCTAGACAAAGAGCAAATTGTTACAGTCCACGTTTTTAAACTCCTTGACCTTTCTTATAAAGGAAGGTAACTCAGAAGCTCCAGAAAATCCTCAGTCTAGTACAGGAGAGGCTGCCACAAACACACTAGTGAGTCCCAGTAGATGAAATCCCCAGTAAGCATCCTATACCCAAGTACTACCCACAACAGCCTTGGGCTGGGTCTGGGGAAGCCTTGGCACCAGGACTGAGAGAGAAAAGTACTCGGAGTCCCTGCTGCTTGTGTCCCTGACTACCGCAACTAAAAGCTGTAACTCTGTGTCCCTCCTTCCAGGCCTCCCCAGCAGGTCAGGGAACGCGTGCTACCAGACTGCCACTACTACAATGTACTCACAAAACACACAAGCAGTACACGCCAGGAACACTCTCGCTGTCTCTTAGCAGATAGCTTCCATCCAGGCCCGTAGCGAGCAAGAGCTTCTCCCCGGTCTCCCTGCTGATTTTGCCATGGTACACAGTGACTGCATCCATGCCAGGCGGACTCTTGTATAGGCCCAGAGGAAGATGGTAAAAGGGAAATGCTGCTGCTGCCTTTGCTGCTGCGGTGGTTACCAGTCACAATCAGCCACCTGACTCCCAGGGCAGCCAGTATGAAAAAAAGAGATGAGCGCCCCAACAACAGGATGTTGTCTACCTGCCTTAAAACCTCTTCTCACACTTCAATTAAGGCCAGCTCAGCAGTTTAGCAGCTTCGAATTTGTCATGGGGTTTGATCACCTGCTCCTCCTTGTTGGGGAGGGAGAAACACTGGAAAGGTGAATACTTGTCATATTTGAGCTGTGCCAGCAATGCAGACAGACCTTACACAACGATGAGAAAGTTGGTAATGTTTTATTTCTTGTGTAGTCCCTGCAACCTGTAGAGCCATCAGCAATGACTTGCCTTAACTAGTGTACAAAAGAATCGGTGATAGAGGGCTGTGGTACATGGCATCATGAGGGGTGGAAAGACTGACAAAGCAAATACATGAAGACCCTGGAACTACAAAATCACGACAGAACCCCCAACTATTTGTGATCTGTGGACTTTAGGAATAGATCTTCCTGAACAAGCTTTCTGTTCTTCAATGCTGATGATGGAATGAATCCAGGGCCTCACAGATGAAACCTTCTACCACTAAGCCTAATCCTTGAATAAGCATAGGCTCAAGCAAATAACAATTTTTAACTTAATATTGTGTTCAAAATCCAAAGTATCAGCTTAGTCACCAAAAAAGCAGTAATTGTGCTAAAAAACTATTCTAGATTGATCTAGCCCAAGAGTTTAAGAAGAGCACATTTTTTTAATTCCTGAGATTATAATTACAACATTTCTTCCTTCCCTTTCACTCTTTAAACCCTTCCAAATACCCCTCCCTGCTCTCCCACAATATTATTGTATGCATATATATAATTATATGTATATATAATTCCTAATTACAACCTGTTGAATCTCTATAATGCTACTTATATGTATGTTTTCAGGGCTAACCATTTGGCATTGGACAACTAGTCAGTGCACTGTTTCCTGAGGGAGACCACTTCCTAAACTCCCAGCTTTACTCAGTTGTCTGTAGTTGTTTATATAGGGCTACAGGCTTGTGGCTTTTTTCTAGCCAGTTTGGCACATACATTGGTGTTGTATGTGAATGTCTATTTGCACTTTGGTATATGGGGCTAGACTCAAATCGTTTTGGATATAAAACTCATATTTTTTGTTGCTAGTCTAACCTTTGATGGCTGAACCATCTCTCCAGCCCTTGAATATAAAGCTCATTTTATATTATTGTGCAAGTGTTGATATTGTAACTTCTATTCTGTTGTTTTAGTGAACATTTTGCCTACAACTGATGCTAAAGGGTCATTAATTTTTTGAACCCTCTCCACTTTGATTCTTTGAAATCAAGTGTTGATTCTATTTCAAAATATGCTAAGTTATGTTTCCCAAAAGCTTTCTCCCATGTCCTCCCAAATAATACTATTTAATGCTTGAAGCTGAACAGTCTCGCCCATATCTTTAGATAATGTCTGATGGTTTTTAAATTGGAATGGAAACACCTAAAGCTACACTGTTTCTTCCACAGCTTCAGCACTCAGTGCTGATATTAAATGCTCCATGAATTGGATGCATGGAGCTATCATGCAGCAAAAGTAAATATTTCTCTCTATCTACTGGGCTTATGAACAATTATCTAAATCTTTGGTGGCAGCCTCCTTCTTTATTGAAAAACGGTGCCCAACCCTTGTAGCTAAAATATAAGCCTACATTTCCTATAGTCATTTTTGGTAGGACTTTCTTTTTTTTGACATTTTTTTATTTTATTTTCCAGTTTAAATTTAGATAAGAAACAAGGTTGCTTCACAAGTCAGTTCCAGGTCCCTCTCCCTTTCCCTCCTCCCGTGCCCTCCCCCCAGCCCCCCCCATTATCCCCTCATTTCCCCAGGGAGGGTGAGGCCCTCCATGGGGGTGTCCATAGTCTGTCATTTCATATAGGGCAGGGCCTAGACCCTTCCCCAAGAGTTCAGGGTGAGAGTGCACCTCACATTGTTCTATGGGAGTCCAAAGTCCGTGTGTATACTTGGGATGGGTACTGATCTGCTGCCCAAGGCTCAATAGATTCCCTAGGCCTCCTCACTGACACCCAGATTCAGGGGGTCTTGATCAGTCCCATGCTGGATTCCCAGGCTGATGCCTGGGATTCAAGAGTTAACCTTTGTCTGGTCAGCTGTTTCTGGGGGGTTAAACCAGCCCAGTCTTAATCCCTTTGGTCATCAGTCCTCCCTCTCTGTTACTGGCTTTCTTGAGTTCAGCTCAGTACTTAACCGAGGAAGTCTTTCTTAAGGTGACTTTGTTCACAATGACAATAGAAGAGCTCTAGGGACTGGGTCATGATCATCACATTATTTTCCTATTTCATGTGTTTTTAACCAACTTCTTCTCATCTTTTCCCATGATTTTGCTTAAGGAAGAAATTAAAATTGATCTGATATACAAATGCCTACCTCAACGTTAAGGACTTCATAAGTTAGCCTAACCAGGACTCTGCATTTGAAAAAAAAAGGCTAATGCTTTAGAAAGTAATTGCAATGGTGGCATTTCAAACATGACAAGAAAAAGAGGGGCATCCTCTTTTATCAGGTCCTATGGACAACACCTATCATGTTACTACTAGAACATTCAGAGCTACATAAGCTAAAAACAAAACCTAACTTTTTTTTCCGTTCTCTGAACAACTCTGAACAAATCATCTACAAACTTAGGAATAGAGCAACCTGGATCTGACAGCACAAGCATACCATGCATTCTTTTCCCTCTGTTTTATTCTGCACTGCTAAAATAGCACACTTGTCAAAGCAGCCAGGTACAGTGGGGTTCAGTACAACTAAAATCGTATCAAAAAGAACAGTTAAATTATAAGGTAATGGTACAACTCTCACATCCAGTACTTTATTGTCATCTCACAAGCAAGCTGACAGGTAAGCCAGCCCACTAGTGCAGTGTTGATGAAAAATACTGACATCTTCACTCGGCTAGTATACAGATACTAAACCTGACTTTGGCAAATGCAAACTTCATGCAGAGCTTGAAGTGTAGAGAACAGAGGAACTGAAACAGCTTTCTCCCTTCTCTGTCCCTGTGCCCACAATACAGGAAGACAAAGATCACAGAGCAGAGCAGGGGAGATAATAGAGGCAGACACCAACAGACAAAGAGCTAAGTAATGGGCCCCATTTATGAGCAGAAGAATCTGCTTGCTTATTGCATGTCTCTTCCACTTGACCATAAGGTCCATTAACAACAGGGTTTTTATATACTTTGTTCATTACTGTATCCTCAGGGACTGGCACACAGTGGATATGTGTGTGTGTTTGTGTTTGTGTGTGTGTGTGTGTGTGTGTGTGTGTGTGTGTGTGTGCATGAATAAATGGCTGGAAATAAAATTGTCAAGAAAACAATCTGAAATTTTCTCTGTCTCTCTGTCTCTCTGTGTCTCTGTCTCTGTCTCTCTGTCTCCCTGTGTCTCTGTCTCTCTCTGTCTCTGTCTGTCTGTCTGTCTCTCTCTCTCTCTCTCTCTCTCTCTCTCTCTCTCTCACTCACACACACACAGACACAAAACAAATGTTTTTAAAGAACTTTGGCCCACCTTCGAAAGCACAGTTTGAACTGGAAGGAGTGCTAACACCGTAATTGTGAGGTCTGAGTTGTACTCTATCTTTTCCCATTCAATTGCTTCCTTTCTCAAAGTCCAAGTCTTATTTTCCCCATCTGTCAAATGGAATTGAGCCAGGGGACCCCTAAGCAGTCATCTCCAGCCTTAACATTCGGCGCTCTGAGTGAAAGCCTAAAATAAATGATAGACAGATAGAAAGGTAGATAGATGGATACATAGATAGATAGATAGATAGATAGATAGATAGATAGATAGATTATATGATAGATAGATAGATTATATTATAGATAGATAGATAGATAGATAGATAGATAGATAGATAGATAGATAGATGCTCCAAAAACAGAGCTCATTTTTTGTGGAAAAAGGGAGATCTTCAAGTTTTGATAAAAGAAGGTATTTGTTCTCATTGTTTTAAAAATAATCTCCAGTCTAAATATCATAGTGGAGAAAGAGAGCTTTATATTTTAAAGAAAATGTTTTGAATATAGATGCCATTTAAATCAAACACAAAAGCATTGAAAGCTAGGAAAACTGTCAGCTGAGGTTTAAAGGGTCCTCTTTTCTAAACTTGTCACCTCCTGAGATCTCTGAGAAGTGACAGGATTTTGCATGTGGATACCCTGTCTGAGGTGCTAATTGTCTGCATTCCACATGCCCCAGGCTATTCTGGAGCCCAGGTAGATTAAAAGAATGATGCCAAGGGTGGCCAGTTCTGTGGAGGAGCTACGACATTTCAGAATCTTTTTCTCTAACCTTTCAAAACTATCTTTGTTCTTCCACTAGCTTATCGAAAAAGTGTGAATTCTCCTGTGACCATGTTATGATGTGGTGAGTTTACACATTCTCTTAGCACTAAAATTTACTTCCTTTACAAAAATAAGTAAAAAAGTCTTTTAAAAAGAGAGCGAGAACCTACTTTAGCTAACACCTAAGTTTATTTATGAGTCTATTTTTTTTCTAAATGCCCTCTTCAACAAGGGAAACAGACACCAGGTTACTGTGGTTATTTGTTTAAACCTGTTAAATAGATGATATATTATTCTTCCAGCTACTCATGGCCTTCTAGTGTATGTCAGATACAATAGTTGGTACTTGGTTAGAGAGAAGAGAAACACAGTACCTGTCCTCAAGTAACTCACAGAAAGATGCAAACAGCTACATTCAGGCTCCTGTGTTGAGTGCTTGGTGCCTAGTTGGGGGCACTATTTTGGTACAGGGTAGAAATGTTAAGTGGCAGGGCCTAGCTGGAGGAAGTATATACTCGTAAAAGGTACATCTAAGTCCAAAGCGCATATCCTCATTCTCTCTCTCCTTCACCTCTCCCTTTCCTCTTCCACCTCTCCATCGTCCTCACCATCTCACTCCCCATTTCCAGCCACCATAAAGTATATTCTCCACACCCTCTTCTTTTACATGATGCTATGTCCCACTGAATCCTCTGAAACCATAAGACAAATTATTCCTGACTTAAATTGTTTATGTCAAGTATTTTGTTAGAGCAATACAAAAGTAACTAATACAAGCTATGATAAAGGAGAGGGTGGAGTTCTCACAGCACAACACTGCTACCCCTTGTTAAAATTTTATTCTGAATGAATACAACCTACTTGATGTGACAATGTCTGTATCTTTCTGTCTGCTATGTATAATTACTTCTTCTGCTTTGCCTGATTTTGCCTCTATCTTGAATACAAATCACCCTAATTCTAGCTGAAATATCATGTTTCTAAGCTTCTAGGCTTTATCAGTTACGCCTTGGAAAAGTCTTGCTTGGATGGTCTGCTGTTTATGTTCCCAGAACATAATCTATTCTAGATCTAGATCATCCAGAATCTAGATCATCAATTATCCATCCATCCAAAATAACAGTACTCTGAGTAATCTGTTGCTAAAGTGATCTAGCCAGGTTCAATGGCACATACCATAGTCCATCAATTTGAGAAAATGTATTGAGCCCAAAAATGTAGCTCTTGCCTGGGCAACCATATAGGAATTCTTTAAAATGGAAAAGAAATAATCTAGGCTATCTTCTATCCAAGTAAGAAATTGCTACACAGATAAAGTCTTATTGCCCAACATCCTTTTCTAGATCAAATGAAGGCAAGTCTTTGGCACTTTTACTTCCCTTTTCCTATTAGTATAAACAAGATAGCCTGTCCAGTTTGCCTGAAACCCAATATGCTCAAGAGCTTTTTGCTATGAACTTGTGAAACCCTAGGAGACAGGGTGGTGCCATATTCCTCTTTGCACATATAGATCAGAGCACAGTACCTGACATCCACTTAAACTTATTCTTTCCTTCCCTGTATAGAGACAACCTTCTGCAGAGTGTGACATCTGACTACAAGGGCATGCCATTTTTGTCAATCTTCTTTTACATGATTATTTACTGATGCTTAGCAAACAGTCTGCCTCATTCTTGTTTGCAGAAACAACTCTTCACACCACTCCTTAGCTACTCATAAGTACATAAGCCCACTTAACTGAGTCATCTTTCTGCACCCTTTATTTCCAGGTGGAATATCATTTTTTTTAATGAAACTCTAGCCTCCAATCTGAAAAAAATTCCCCCCTCCTCTTTCCAGTCTGCTAGCCATGTTCAGTCTACTTTCTGTCTCTGCTCTGGACTCTTCCAGGTGCCTCTGGCTGTCTTTCATATATCTACAATGAAAACCTTTCCGTTAACTAAAGCAAGGAGCAGACATGCCATCATTTTATACTATTTTATCAATCAATAATTAAGAAAATGCCGTACAGGCTTGTCTATAGCCCAACCTTATAGAGGTATTTTCTCAGTTAGGGTTCCCTCCTCTCAGATGACTCTAGTCTGTATCAAGTTGACACAAAACTGGTCAGTACATTGGGGACCAGAGAAATTCAGTAATTTCTTTGAGACAATGCGCCTAGAAATAGAGTAAGTATCTCAACTCATGTCTATCTGATTATAAAGCCCAAGATCTTTCCAGAGAAACCTGTTACTCCTTTTTTTACTGTGTGCACTTCAAGTTGGCAATTGTCATTTTTTGTTTTTAATTAATTTGTATTTAAATTAAAAACAATCTTATTTTGCATATCAATCGCAGTTCTCTCTCCCTCCTCTCCTCCCATTCCTCCCACCAATCCCCCATCTTACCCCCATCCACTCCTCAAGGAAAATGAGGCTTCCCATGGGATTACTCTCTTTTATGAACCTATCAAAGATGAAGGTAGTAATTTGAAACCCTCAGTGGTTCAAGTTACTTTAAAAGTTAAGCATCAAAGACAATACAAACAAATTAAAATATACAAAATGTATGCATAGAGTGATTGTTTTCCTGGAGGTCTAAGTACTTGTATGAACAGCAGTCTCTTTCAAAGCCATACATGAAAGAATTCTATGTTGTGGAATATTATTTTATTTTTGGTTTTACGAGATAGGGTTTCTCTGTATTTTTTTGAGGCTGTCGGTCCAGCCTGGCCTCGAACTCACAAAGATCCGCCTGCCTCTGCCTCCCAAGTGCTGAGATTAAAGGCATGCGTCACCACTACCCGGCGTGGAATATTATTTTAATATGTGTTACATTTGTTTATGCTGTGGAACATTTGCTTTAATGATGTAAAGATGTGTTGCATTTGTTTAATTCTGTGAAGCTGTGCTTCTTTGCCTATCTAAAACACCTGATTGATCTAATACAGAGCTGAATGGCAAATAGCAGGGCAGGAGAAAGGATAAGATAGGCTGGAAGACCAAGAAAATAAACAGAAGGAGAAAAAAGAGGGATGGGAAAGCAAGAGAGATCAAGGAGGACATCAGGGGCCAGACACCCAGCTACACAGCCAGGCACGGAGTAAGAGTGAACATAAGATATATAGAAATAGAGAAAAGTAAAAGCCCAGAGGCAAAGATAAATTCCTGACAACAGGAAGTAGCGTGAGACACTGGGTGGTATTTTAAGCATATATGAGACCTCAAAGCCCACCTCCACAGTAGCACACTTCCTCCAACAAGGCCGCACCTACTCAAACAAGGCCTCACTCCCTTGGAGGTCATTTTCTTTCAAACCACCACAGGCAGAAAAAGAATTTCTGTTTATGGGATATTAGGGAACCTCAAGGAAATACCACTACAGAGATTCTTGGTACAGAGCAGGACTGAACAACCTGTACCAAGGCTCCAACTTCAGAAGAACCACCCTCTCCACTTTTTCACCCTTTGTCCCTTCCACTCACCCCATCCCACCCTCCAAAGCCCCACAGAAGTGCCTCCAATTCCTGGATCTTCACCAGAAGAGGAAGGGTCCTCCAGTAGTGGATAACATTGACTGTCCTACACCTAGATGGGGGTCGAAGATGATGCTGATTTGAGATGCTACCATCTGAGTCAACCCTCCCCAGAATATAAACCACAGAAAAGACACATCATTACAGTTCACACTCTTTATTATTTACTAGTAGCAACAGAAGAAAAAAATATAAAAATTAGAATGCGGTTAACTTAGAATAATTCAGGGAACTAAATAACAGCTGCAGTTCAGACTAGAGATGAAGCTAAACTCCCACCTAGCTTCTTCCTGGCTTAGTTTACTTCGCTTGGGAGGAGAGAACGGCTTATTTCCTCAAATTCATTTGTGAAAGACTCTAAATAACGTTTTCATGAATTACATTAAATATATCAAATTTGTTATCATATACAACTTAACTTTACAACCTCCAGATTTCTTTTAAGCTAGACCATCATCCTAGTGAAGAAATTAAATTCTAAAAACAATAGTTTGTTCTTCGGTGTTCCCCATAGTGTGTCAGTAATCTTTTCTACGTTCACTATTTAACTTTGCTTTGCATTAGTTAGTGGTGGGGGTCTCACCAAACTATAGGGACCATGAGAATTAAGATGTTTCCTTCGGCTCCTGGGTGGTTTTATAATGGAGCAAGTTCAGCGAATGTGTGGATCTGAGCTATGTAAACACCACTTTAACCTATAAACTTAAAAAAGCAAACAAAGGAAAAACAGTATTTTCAAGAAAAAGTTCTATTTCTAAAATTCCATGCAGATTACAATTTTGAGTGTTCCCTAGTAAATATGTTGTATTTTTAGGAAAAGGAAATTGCGAAACAGAGAAGCAGAGAAGAAAAAAAGGACAGTTTCATAACTTTATCTCCTTTACTTCTTCAGGGTTCCAACTCATTATCTCATCAGGGACAGCCATCAGGAACTCACCACCTGCAAAATTGCAAAATTGAAATGATATTAGCAAGAAATCTTGGCTTAAGGAATGCAGTATTGAAAGGGTGCCCTTCTTTGTCCAAATAAATGAAAAAATATATATTTATAATTTTATAGTTGTTTAAACAAAGCAACGTCAACATATATAAAATATTAACTTTCTTGTCCTTACTGAACAGTATAATCAAGAGAATTTTTTGTTAACAAATTAAAAACAATACAGGCTAGGTGGTAGTGGCACATGCCTTTAATCCCAGTACCTGGGAGGCAGAGGCAGTCAGATCTCTCTGAGTTTGAGGCCAGCCTGGTCTACAAAGCAAGTTCCAGGACAGCCAGAGCTGTTAGACAGAGAAACTCTGTCTCAAAAAACACAAATAACAATAATAAACTAAAAATACAAAAGTATTTTTATACATTAACCTAATATAAAAATGTAGTTAATTTTTGTAGAGGGCTAAAGGGTTATTTCATCTTTCTGTAAAGAACAGTATTTTTCATGAGTTTGTTAAGAGCCTGGTTTCTTTTTATATACCTTCTAGAACCAGTGGTTTTTCCTCCACCTTCAATTGGCATATTAACTCTCTTGCACTTATAGCAGGCTGTGCGCCATGAAAAATTCATAGCTTTACACTTTGGGCAGAACCAATTCACCCCAGACTGGGATTTGGAAGGGTGTTCCACCTTTGGCTTGGGCTTCTTTGGCAGCAGAGGCTGCTGTTTCTTTGGGCTTTCTCTCACAACTTGGCTCCAGCTCTCCCACACAAGGGGTGGCTGGGCCGCCACCATGCCTTTGATTTGACTTCCACTAGAGCCCAAGGGATTCGGAGCTGATGCCTTGAGACTCTTTTCACTTTGGCTATCGAGGCCCTCTTCCTCAGTTAGATGCAGCTCCTGGAGACTCCACAGACACTCTGCGGTGTCGCCACACGCTGTTGCAGCCACTGCGGCTGCCTTCTCTTCTTTCTCCTCTGGTTCTGCCTCACCACCACCATCCCCTGCTGCTTCTGCAGCTCCTTCAGCGGCTGCCTCTGCTCCTGCTGCTGCTTTGCCTTCTGCTGGCACTGCTGATGTTGAGTCTTCTTTGCTGTCTTCCGCTTCTTCCTTCTCTTTTCCTACTTCACTATCGTTTCCAACATTCGCCAGGGTAGTCCTCTCCTGGGTTCTTTGTGAATCCTGCTCCTGAATGTAGCCTCTGATGCCTCCCAAGGCAACTGTGTCCTGGGGCTGCTGTAGGTCTCCCTCCCGCCTGGCATCTTTAACATTCCCTGGAGCGACAGAAGGCTGGCTAACCGGAGGACCTTCAGCAGCCATGCATAATCGCTGGTCCCACTGACCAGCTGGATCCTGGGAGTTTGGTGCAGCTAGTGAACCAGATGGACACACAGGAGGCATCCGAACCGGAACTACAACACCTCCCTCTGTGTCCGTGACGAGTGACGGTGGAAAGGGCATTAAGAATGGAGATTCCAATAGGAATGGTGGATGTGGTGGGATCTGGTATGGGACTGGCACAGACGGTTGCATGGCCAGGGGCCAGGGACTTGTGCTTTCAGGCATATAAAAAACATTTGTCGCAGCTGACATCTGTGCCTCCAAATACTGCCTGTCGTACCCACCCATTGCACCCACAAATCTCGAATGATCAGAATTCAGAGGCACTACTGAAAGACCAAGCTGTTGGGCTTGAGCTCCAGGTGCTTCGTTCTGAGCCAGCGGAGCCGTCTGGGAAGAAGATCTTTCAGCAGGATACAGCCTCCGCCGCAACATATCACATTCCCTCATGGCCTGCTGTAGGGCAGCTTGAGTGGAACGCAGTTGAGTGACTGCCTCCTCTCGCTGTTGATGCAGCTGCCACACCTCTGAGACTGAGGCCCTGGGAGCCAAGGGGCGCTGCCCCATTTCATCTTGCAGCAATCCTACTATATAAGCCTGCTGCTCACGCTGCCTCGCACCTAGTCGCACACTCAGGGCCAAGGCACTCCAGGTACAGGCACGTTTGAGAGAGCGAGGCACCTCGGGGTCAATTAGAATGGCGCGAAGCTGGTCTTCGATTTCATTCCAGGGCCGCAAGCAGAAAGCCAAATAGAATTCAGGCCCACCTCCATTTATGAGGATTTCGTTGTTTATGAATCGAATCACCTCACTATGGCGAAAGCCACAGGAGAAGTCCCCCAAATCCACCGCCATGGTCAATGCGGCCTAGTCACTCTGGTGCCTGACACACTTCTGTCACTGAACAAAAGTCACAGATACAGGCTGTGCCGCCAATCTGTTACCCTCTTGCCACTGACTCGGTCCGAGACCAGTCTCACAAAACCCAAAGCCGTTCGTCTCACCACCTCAGCCTCAGGATGACTATGACGACACTGGCAAGGACAAAGATGCAGACGAGGACAACACGATGGCCATAATGGCGGCGCGGCAGCAACAGACTCGTGCTGACGTAGGACAGAACGTCAACTGCATGAGCAGCACACAGGCAGGCTCCTAGAAGGCACGCCCCCTTGGCACAGCGCCACCTACAGGAAGCTCAAGTAAGGTGGCAGTGGCGGGGACAACAATGAGCCACCAGACAGTGGCTTGGTTAAATAAGTTTGAGAAAGGAAACAGCCAAGACGATGAAAAGAACTCATAACCAAACATTAGCATTGAATATGAATGCATAAGAGATGCTCATATCCCACTCTTAGGCATATATCCAAAAGATGCACATTCATACAACAAGGACATCTGTTCCACTATGTTCATAGCAGCATTATTTGTAATAGCCAGAACTTGGAAGCAAACTAGATGCCCCTCAACCGAAGAGTGGATAGAGAAAATGTGGTACATTTACACAATGGAGTATTATTCAGCAGAAAAAAACAATGGAATCCTGAGATTCGCAGGCAAATGGATGACACTAGAAGAAACCATCCTGAGCGAGGTAACCCAGTCACAAAAAGAGAAACATGGCATGTACTCTCTCATATATGAATTTTAGACATAGATCTGGAGAGTGCCAGCCTACAATCCCATGGCCAGAGAGTCTGGGAAACAGAAACTTCATTCAGTGACTGATGGAAGAAGAGGCAGACTCCCACGGCTAAGCACTGAACTGAACTCAAGAAAGCCAGTAACAGAGAGGGAGGACTGATGACCAAAGTGATTAAGACTGGGCTGGTTTAACCCCCAGAAACACCTGACCTGACAAAGGTTAACTCTTGAATCCCAGGCATAAGCCTGGGAATCCAGCATGGGACTGATCAAGACCCCCTGAATGTGAGTGTCAGTGAGGAGGCCTAGGTAATCTATTGAGCCTTGGGCAGCAGATCAGTACCCATCCCGAGTATACACAGGGACTTTGGACTCCCATAGAACAATGTGAGGTGCACTCTCACCCTGAACTCTTGGGGAAGGGTCTAGGCCCTGCCCTATATGAAATGACAGACTATGGACACCCCCATGGAGGGCCTCACCCTCCCTGGGGAAATGAGGGGATAATGGGGGGTTGGGGGGAGGGCACAGGAGGAGGGGAGGGAAAGGGAGAGGGACCTGGAACTGACTTGTGAAGCAACCTTGTTTCTTATCTAAATTTAAACTGAAAAATAAATAAAAAAAGAAGAAGAAAAATAAAATCAGGGTTAATTAGGCTATCATGATATGTTAATGTGCATTTGAGTTCTTCACTAGAGTAGCTGTGGACTTCTGTTGGAAATCCATATAATAATGTTATAGTAATGTTATTAATGGACACACGAGCATATTTCTGAATGTAACAGATCAGGAGTCTTTGCCAGGTAGGATCCTACCAGGGTCCAAGATCACTAAGAATGGTGACTGGTCCAAAGGGAACATCACATCATCCCCTGGTTCATATGATGCAGTTTCGAGACCTTGTGCAATGGGAGTTTACAGTGCCAATAATTTGCATTGATTTTCTTATTATCACTTATACCAACTCTTAGAGTATCTATCTTCATACTAAATAAAAATATCAAAAAAAGAGATGCTCATATCTCAGGTCCGGCTCTTGCCCTGTTTTATTATGTGATTTCGATTTTGCTGTTGTGAGTACTAGAGTAGAGAGTTTGCCCATGATAAGGTAGCTAAAGCCCCTGGGTTCGATCCCCACTATGGAAAGAATATTCAAATTTTCTTGTCTGACACATAGTTGATACTTGGTATATTTTGTTTTGTTTTGTTTTGTATTTTTTGTTTGTTTGTTTGTTTTCGAGACAGGGTTTCTCTGTATTTTTTTGGAGGCTGTCCTGGAACTTGCTCTGTAGACCAGGCTGGACTCGAACTCCCGGAGATCTGCCTGCCTCTGCCTCCTGAGTGCTGGAATTAAAGGTGTGCTCCACCACTGCCCAGAACTTTTGCCACCACCGCCAAGAACTTTGTATTTGTGACTGCCATCTGCAATCGCAGCATTCTGGAGGTTTAGACAGAAACTACAAAGGGTTCTAGGACAGCTTGTGCTATTTAGAGGGAAACCCTACATCAAAAAGAATTCCCAGAGACAACTATAGTCAGCTAATGAAGTAAGTCAGTCTCACATAGACACGTTTTCTTATTGTTTTGAGATTATAATTATAATATAATATAATTACATTTCTTCAATCCCTCTCTCCAAAGCCTCCCATATACCTGCTCAGCCCTAATGTTTCAAATTCATGGCCTGTGCTTTCATTAGTTATTATAGCATGCATATCTGTACATATACATATATATTTCTAAATATAACCTGCTTAGTCTATATATTGTTGCTTATATTCATGTTTTCAGATGTGCATTTTTGTTTTTTTAATTTTATTAGTAGTACTTGTGTGCCTGTATGTGGGATGTGTATGAGTGGGCACACGTGGTGGTCAGAGGACAATTTTGCAGAGTTGGCTCTCTCCTTCCACCTTTACATGGGTTCTCAAGCTCAAATTCAGGTCATAGGCTTGCATGGTGAGACCTTTATTTGGTGAGTCAGCTTTCTAGCTTCATAAAAAATACGTTATTAGCAAGTTTTCTCTCATTTGTGGGTCCTAACTTCTCTATATCTACAAGATCACATATGTACAGATGACGTGAAGGTAAAGGCAAAATTGGAGAACAAAGAGAACTAATAAGAGAGGGGAAGTAAAGAGGATAGTCAGGGGTAAATGCTCAAAGTGCATTGTATACTTCTATGAGAGTGGCCTTATGGTAACTCTGTATACTAATTGTTTTTGTAATTCACCCCACACTCTTTCTTAAATGTGTGTATTCAGACACCTATGGAGGTCAGGGGACAGCCTGCTGTGGGTCACTTCTCTTTCTACCATGTGAATCCTGAGTGTAGAACTCACTCAAGTCATCAGTCTTGAAGGCTTTACCCTCGGAGCCAGCACTTCAGCCCCATCTTAGAGTCTTTACTAAATTACTGCTTCAATCCTTCCAAAAGGTCAGCCGTGACATCTGCGAGTTTCCTTCCTCCTCTTAAGCAGAGGAATTCAGAATGTCTGTCCGGAAGAAAAGCAAGTAAGTGAGCCATGAAACCCCTGAAGGCTCATTTGTTATGCTCTTTCCCCCAAGCCAAGAGTGGTGGTGCACAGCTGTAATCCCAGCATATGGTCCTTCCTGGATCCTCTCTCATGTGCTCTGAGAAAAAGATTGCTTTGTTGTATTGTCTGTTAGGCCTATTTTTAAATGGCGTTTTAAAAGCTACCATTTTGTGTTAACTCTTCGATCAATCTTTCTTTGCATCCTTAAATGTGAAATTAATTTAAAGTCTCTAACTATTGTAGAACTGTTTAATAACCTTATAGTATATCCACTTACATAAGTATTTAGGAGATTTTCTGTTACATTAGTATGTGCTTATATTAATGTATCTTCTTGTTAGATTCTTTTATTTTTCATAGATTTCTAATTAATTTTAATTAACATACAAAATAATGGATTTCATTATAACAGTTATTTCCCATGTGAATATCATTGTACTTTGTTTTAGATCCAGCTTCTTAAACTGTGGATTATATGGGATCATGTAATCATATGTGGGGGTGAAGGAAAATTTGACAAGAGTAAAAATGTTTTGAATGCAATGACAAAAAAATCAAAAGTAAACTTGTAATGAATCCACTGTGTTGCTGAAGGACTCAACTGTGTTGCATCTAAACACACAGCATGTAAACTGCACTGTGTGTGCTGACATGTCACAGAACACCAGTAACTGCTACCTGAGTGACCTAGACTCAGGTTTGAGACTACTCTATATTATTACTTTCAGTGTTGTTCTTTTTTTTAAGAAACATGCAAATCTTTTCTGAGAAAAACATAATGATCTAATTGTGGAAACCTAAGAATTTTTAATATTTTCCTTCCATCATTGGTCAACATGTACTAAATTAATGTATCATAGAATTATATTGTGTTGGAATGTTTGCTTTTTAAAATTGCTGCTTGGGTTTCTGAACTTCATAAAAAATAATTGTTCTCTGAATTTTGGCTTGGGATTAGGATAGGATTTCCAATAATTTTTGAACCTCAAGTTACTCCCAGTGACACACCTACTCCAACAACACCACACCTCCTAATCCTCCCCAAACAGCTCCACCAACCACGTATTCAAACATATGAGCCTATGGGAGCCATTCTCATTCAAAAAATCACCCATATCATTAATCATACTGTCTTTACTTTTACCTCCTGCTTCTTGGGACACGAGAGTCAAAGAAGAGTAGCTTAGCTCAGGTCTTTTCTGAGCATATAAACAGTATAGGGCATGTGTGTGGCCCTTTCAACTACGTGCTTTATACATGGCCTTTTAAAAACCCAGCTCCTGTAGGATGCTCCCTCAACCCTGAGAATGTTCTGAGTTGGACAAGCAAACTAAAGACAATTTTTTTAAAAATCTTCCAGGGACCTACCATAGGGACATAACAAATAACTATGATTCTCTGAAACTAAGGTCCATACCGTTCCCTCTATCACTGGCAACTTATACCAGGAGCACAAGATGTTGTCATCATAGATACTGCCTATTTGGTGAAGAGGAGTATAATCAGGCACTTTAAAACATTAGAGAGATGGTTTACTGCATTGCAGTTATTTATTCCCTCTTTATCTACCTTCCATCCCCATTGCGGAGTTCTTTATATGCTTTCAGTCTTATAAAAGACCACTTCTACCCAGTCTTACTAGCTTATTTATTGAGGGGTAGAACCCTAGAAATTCCTAGCCTGCCAATTTCTATATGAAGGGAGATCTCACATCTTCAATCAATATCATAAATAAACCTAGTTTCATCTCTTTTTCAGTTATTATTTATCCTATCTCAACCACTATCTCTTTCAGAAGTCTTTCATAACCATTATGCCATCAATAATATAATTAGTAATTGGTTTTATTTTATTTTGTATGTGTGTATGTGGTACATATATGTATATTT